GAAAAGTTTTGAGAGCACGGCGAAACGTGCGCAGGTCCGGGATCTTCCGTATCTCTGGGGGGAGCTCGTTCCAGATGGTAGGTGCCCCCACAGAGAAGGCTCTCCCCCTGGGGGCCGCCAGTCAACACTGTTTGGCCGACGGCACCCTGAGGAGCCCCTCTCTATGGGAGCGTACTGGTCGGTGAGAGGCTATTGGTAGCAGAAGGCGGTCTCGTAGATACCCCGGTCCGATGCCATGGAGCACTCTAAAGGTGGTAACCAAAACCTTGAAGCGCACCCAGAAGACCACCGGGAGCCAGTGCAGCTCGCGCAGGAGGGGGGTCACATGGGAGCGCCACATCGCTCCCATAACCACCCGCGCGGCCGCATTCTGGACCAGTGGAGCCTCCGGGTGCTCCTCAAGGGGAGCCCCATGTAGAGAGCATTGCAGTAGTCCAAGCGGGAAGTAACGAGAGCATGAGTGACCGTATTTAACGAGTCCCGATCCAGAAAGGGACGCAACTGGCGAATCAGTTAAAAAGTCCCCCTGGCCACAGCCGTCATGTGCTCTTCTAAAGACAGCCGTGAGTCCAAGAGGACACCTAAGTTGCGAACCCTCTCCCTGGGGGCCAGTGACTCGCCCCCAATAGTCAGTGATGGCACCAACTGACTATATCGGGATGTCGGAAACCACAGCCACTCGGTCTTGGATGGGTTGAGCCTGAGTCTGTTTCTCTCCATCCAGATCCGCACGGCCTCCAGGCATCGGGACATCACTTCAAGGGCATCATTGGGGTGGTCCGGGGTGGAGAGACAAAAGTGTTCATATCATACAGTGACATCACTGCATTACCTAAAGGCCAGATGTGCAAATAAAGTATGCACTCTGATCTAGTTCCAAAATGTTATCTCCTCCTGGTGTTGAAACTTTGAAAAATATAGTAGTAAAATAAATGGCTTCCATTCAGACATTCATTGGACCATATTTCTCCTTCACAAGATGAATTTTGCAAAATTAAGGAGCAACAATTAAGTACAGTGGCGGAAGATAATAAATTGGGTGTAGTATATGAAGAATTAAGTGCAATATATGAAGATAATAAAATAAACACAAATCGTACTCTTCTATCAAAATTGGATAATCTATAGGACCGTGATGGCGAACCTATGGCACGCGTGCCAGAAGTGGCACGCAAAGCCATTTTTTCAGGCATGCGAGCTGTCGCCCAACTCACCTGCTCACAGCTGCTCGGTGTTCAGGCCTCAGTTATGCATGCGTGCAATTCAGGGGACCCAGCTGGTCTTTGGAGCTCTCCTGCGCATGTATGCATGTTTGCTGGTGTGCACAGACAGCGTTCACGCAAGTGCATTGTGCACACAAAAACCATGCACATGCGCAGATTGTGCGATTGCACATACAGCACACAGATGGTGTGCTTGCATGCGTAGCGAATGGGGAGCAGCTGCACATTAGCGTGGATGGCACGCGTGTGGTGAGTAAAAGATTCGCCACCACTTCTATAGGAGTTTATTTTTAATGACCATCTTCATTTCCATATTACAATTTTTATTCTCAAATAGAATTTATTTCAAATTTTCTTAGCACCTCATTTCAGTGGTAAGAAGTCTTCATTGCACAATAGCCCTGCTAGCTTTGCATTTATTTAAATCTTAGTGTTCTATGGTGGCAATTCAAAAAATCCTTTCCTATTTTTCATCTCTGAATGTTATCATTTAATATATTAAGCAGGGGTGCATTTGTGTGATAATCCTGAAATGTTTTTATTTTACCTAAAGAACTATGCTTATTATTGAGTATTAGGCGGTAGTAAGGTGTGCTTGATAATGGAAAATACTGCCTTGCGGTATAGTGGAGATATTTAAGAGGAGGCTGGATCTCGTAAACATGTTATAATGGCATTTGTACTTCAGGTCCTGCACTGCCTGGAAGACAGGATTATTGTATAGTCCTTCAGATTCTAAATTCTGTGATTAACACTTTCTACTATAAAATGATATACAGCAACATCACATAATCATACAGTCTGAGGGAATCATACAGGCCTCTCTTTTTCAGTGCACAATCCAACCTACACAAAAAGTTAATCCACACTATTTGTTTGTCTTGTTGCCAGAATGGCTGGCCACCATTTCTAGAGGATAAATATAGATGACTTTGATCTCTGTTATTAGAATAATTTAACTCTCGACCCCACTCACCTTCACAGTGACCTCTGCTCTGTTTTTTGCTCCATTTCCAAAATATATTTTTACTGTGATACATGTTGGCTCAAGCATTCCTATTTTATTCCAGAAAAAATATTCCAGATTATTTGGCTATTTTGAGAACTGAAGGTTAGAAGTCCCTTCTAACTTGAGTGACTGGAAAAACAGATGAAATGAGGGGTGGCCAGGTTTCTTTTAAAACAAACCAAAACAAACCAAAATGGAACCATGGGAATCTCAGGGGGAAAAAACTAATCTTTTTAAAAAAGACTTTTTTTGTTAGTATTCTATACATACAGGCAAGCTGTTCTATAGAAGAATAGGAATACAGAACAGAATCTCACATCCTTCAATGGCTAGGAACCCTGTTCCTATCAGAGACAACAACAAACCATCCTTAGCTTCTCTCTGACAATTTGCAGGGCCTTTCCAGGCAAGTCTATACTGAAGTATATTTTCAGGAGATGTCGTCAGGAATGAGTAACTCATAATTATTATGGTCTGCCAGCAGCCTGCAGAGCTGTCAGCAGAGTCAGACAGTGCGGAGACTGGGGAGTAACTGGAATCTAGGGAAGGCCCGGATGAGGGCTCTGCATCAGAGGCAGGGATGGGGCCAGGGCCATCTGGGAGTGATGCGTGGACTCTGGAGCCTCCAGAGTCAGACAGCAGAGAGGCAGAGGAACAGGAGGAGCCTGTTCCTAGTGTGCACATGGGTAGAGCTGCCAGAAGGCATGAACAAAAGAGATGACTCGGGAGTAAGGCCTGGAGATGATTGGCACCTCCCATAAGGCTTAAAAGAGGAGTAAAGGCACGTGGCACTTTGCAGGAAAGTGACGTTCTTAATTCTGTTCCCAGTTGGCATCTCTGTTTGATTCTGGAATCCGTGTGGCTTTGCCAAGTAGGTCTTTGGCAGAGTGTCAAGGGAGATAAAGGTTGGTGATTATCTCGAAGGACTTCTCCCGAAGGACTTTTTGTAACTAATTGGGACTCAACTGTGAATGAACGTAATTCATAGCTGTTGCAATAAAAGAGGTTTTTGGGACTACTCATGTGTTTTAATGACTCAGGAAGCCTAGATCACAACAATAATATCACAAGAATTATTAATATATCTGGTATCAAGGAGTTTTGAGTTGAGTTCGTTGAGTTTCAGCAGCATCAAAAAACAACAACTACTACTAATGCAATTCTTGGTTGTATAAACAGAAGCATAGAATAAAAATCATGTGAAGTATTAGTATTGCTTTATAAATCTTAGTAAGATTACACCTGGAATACTGCTTCCAGTTTTGGTCACCACATTACAAAAAAGATGTTGAGACTTTAGAAAAAGTTCAAAGAAGAGCAACTAAGATGATTAAAGGCCTGGAAACAAAAACATATGATGAATGGTTTCAGGATGTGGGTTTGGCTAGTCTAGAGAAAAGAAGGACTAGGGGTGAAATGATAGCAGTATTCCAGTATTTGAGGGGCTGCCACAGCTTATTTTCCAAAGCACTAGAAGACAAAAAAAGAAACATTGGATGGAAACTAATCAAGGAGAGAAGCAACCTGGAATTAAGGAGAAACTTCCTAACAAAGTGAGAACAATTAACTAGTGGAACAGCTTGCCTTCAGAAGTTATAGATGCTTCATCTACAACTTCTTTCTTTTTTTTAAAGAAAAGACTGGTCAGCCACCTGTCTGAAATGATATAAGGTTTCCTGCTTGAACAGAACTTGACCTCCAAAGTCCCTTCCAGCTCTATTCTGATTGGTGATTGGGAGTTACTCAAGGAAACCAAATGCGGTTTTGAACTGACACTTTCCAGATGGACATGGGAGGAGCTAAACTAAATAAAGGGAGTGAAAGTGTCTCAAATGCTGGAATGGAATATACAATATTTGGGGAAATTAACTAATATTCTTTCTGGGCATTGACTGCTATCCTAATTTCTCACTTATAAAGACTATATTTCTGTCACAAAGCAGAGATACTCAAAAGCTACCAGGTAGCAAAACAGTCTAGAATTTCAGTAAGACTCCTGTGGAGATAATCAATAATACAAGGGCCTCATAGAGATCACATTGATATACAAATTAATAATGCTTAAGAGCTTGTCTACGTAGAATTTTAAGCAGTTAATCAGCTTGGGTTGTTGGTATCAGAGCTTTTTTGAGCTCAGCTGTTTATTCTTTTCTCGCATTTTTGGAAATTAACTGTATGTAGCCTCAAAGGTCGTAATAATTTTATGTTTAAGAAAAAGATCCAAGAGCTTTTAAGCATGGGAAAAGTGGTGCTCAGTCCTTTGATCATCTGTTAGATCCCCACCCAAACTGCTTTTGTATGACTTTCTTTGATATTCAAATTACAAATAAATGTTATTTGAGCTTTAATGGAGGGTATTGGTGGACAAGAAAGGGTAAGGAGTAAACTCATCATTTCAATAGTCTAAACCATGCATTTCTTACACTTTCTGTGCCATTCATTCTGGACAAGTTCTAAATATATGTAATGTTGATTTCAACACAAGAACTCTAGGGGAAAAAGTAATTTCATTTCAGCATACTATGCAAATGCTCATTCCTCCATCTGCTCATCTGTATGTAAGTTACGTTGACTTCATTGAGACTTATTCTTAATGTAAATCAGGAATCGGGAGAAACTTATGCAACTGGAGGTTAATCTATTTTTGTGTGTGTGAAAAACTTGAAAAGCTGCAGCTTCCCTTATTGTCTTCCATAGGAAAAAAATCAGATTGTACAGTGTGAACTTTCGCTGAACAAGAAAGATATACTGACAATACCCACCTGTACATCTCTGCCCTTGGCAAATCAAGGGATAATGCTGATGTCCTATCTTGTGTCTGGAAGAAGGGAGCAATTGGATAGGGAACATCAGGCTTTGGCTCAAACCTGGCAAGATTGAATGGGTTTGGGGTTTTGGAACTTTCTGGACTCATGACTCCTCCTTCAGGAACAGATACCCATCGTGACTAGGAGGGCCTTTGTGCAACTTTACATTCTGGGCAGTTGTACCTGTTCCTTGATTGAGACGCTCTACTCTCATAATGCAGACCCTGATCACTTTTAAATTGACTATTGAAATGCATGCTACATGGGGCTGCCCTTGAAAAGTATCTGGAACCTTCAACTAATGCAGAATGCAACAACAGGGGCAGTTATGTGTGCCCCTAGTTCAGCGCATGTTATACTTTTGCTTACATTTTTTTCTCCCTCTAGTGAACCTTTAAAATCAATACCAAATCATCAACAAATGCCTTTAACTTATAAGTCTTTTTTGAATTCCCAGATCTTGTATCAAGCGTCTATTCAATGTCTCAAGAATCCAAATGATCAAAAGTGGAGACAGTAGAAATCATTGCCTTGTCCCTTTTTGAATCTCACGAGATTTTTTTTAGTTCTCCATTAGTAATTATTTGTTCTTTCTGAGAAGCATAAATCAATTTTACCCATTTAACAAAATTATCCCCAAGGTCTCATCCCTTCTTCTATATCTCATATAATCATTTATTGAATGTATATGAGTACATGATGGGGAAAAAATAGGCATCTTCCTTTATTTATTTATTATGAGTGCATGAAGGGGAAAAAATAGGCATCTTCCTTTATTTTAAGAGAGCAACAATCCTGTGAGGTAAGTTTGACTGAGAAATACTGAACTGCTTGAAATAACCAATGAGTTTCGCAACCGTACACTTCAATCTACATTTCTCAGACCCACACCCAATACAATATTTTAACCACTAATATATAATAGCTTCTGCATATATAGTATATGCATACACATCTGCATTAAAGTAGAAGAAACTCACCATTTTTGGGTGGATATTCCAGAATGCAAAGCTCAATTTAAGCACCTAAAGAATTAAAATATATTGCATGTCATAGATACATTCAGCAAGGTCTATGGCTCTTCATGCAGTTCTATTCGTTACATTAGACCACTGTAAAACATGTTAGACCATAAAAATGTTAGACTATTGTTATACAGGTCAATTTGTGAATGTCCTTTATGTTTTCCTATCTGTTTACTGATCAAGTTTGAATGTGGGAGTTCTCTCATCAGAGATTCCGGGTGAAAGTTGCTACCCCTCTATTTTCTCTTTTTTAGAAAGTGCAAAATGATCCTTTTCTTTCTGCAGTTTTTAGAGTTGTAAGAATGATACTGAATATCGCAGAAGAGCCATCAATGGTATGTAGCTAAGCCTAGATGCTGTTGAGTCTACAGCAGGCAGTCCTCCCTCTGGTATGTTTATGAGACTGTAAGCTTTCTGCGCAGGAAATAAAAATGGGAAACACAGTTAGTGCAAATCACCCAGCATGGATACCATTGATCCCCCTGGACAAAGGCATTGATCAACAGCGCTATTTGTTCTAACAATGTGTCAGACTGTATGTAGATTTGTTTTTCCAAAGTATATGCAGTAGCATAATGCTTTACAACAGAGGAATGAATTTTCCGCCATCATCACAGTATGAGCAGTAGGAAAGCTCTTGCTTCAAACAAAGGCAATTACTAATGGTAATTATATTCGTTCTTCTTCATACAACTTAAATTTCAATCATTTTGGCAGGGCTCGGTTCAGGATGTATTGTTAGGATACGACAGTCTCCCCAGGGTAAGAACTGAGCATCGTTTCTTTATTGACAAGCTGCTCCAATGCATTTTGCCAGAATTTCAATTGTCACAATATAAATGAAGATGATCGTGCAATATTTACTGCCTCACCCAGGACTGAAAGGCAACACTGCCTTTCAAAGACAAAGGTATATGCTTGTGGCTTGGACTGCAAAAATAAAAACTCTCTTCCACCAGATCACTTTAATGTTATGATGGCCAGTTCATCATGAAGCTGTTTGAGGTCGAATATGTGGGAATTCTGCTAAAGATATCCAAAACATGCTACAGATATCACAGCATAAATAATATTAAAAAATAACTGCTAACTTTCAGAACTTTGAAAGAGAACTGGACTAACGTAGTAACTGTTGCAAAATTCTAAATTCTGTAGTAGATATTGTGGGAGGAATGTACTTCTTTGTATACATGATGTTGGGGTCTTCTTTTACTTAAGTTTTATCATCTTCTCATGAACATTCTTTTGATGCTTGGGAACCAGCTTCGATAAATAGGACCTATTTTGACAGTCTGCCCCAGATGCTTAATGGATCCAATGTCAGTGTTTCAGAAAAACCTCTGCTCCAATTAAAAACTCTGAGGCAAGCATTTTCTCAAAGTTCCATTTATTAGAGTAGGTATACTGGCACATCTTGGGAAAACCCGAATCTGAGAGTTCTGGGTTTTCCCTCAGTAAATCAAAATCCCCAAAACCATTCCCTCACTCATCTGTCGATCACATGCTCCAATCACCATCTGTTCCATCTCGAGACAGCACTCTAACCATGCCTTCTTCAGATGCAGGCTTGTCCTGACCTTGACTGACTGGAAGAATGCTATTTTGTCTAAATTCAAAACCCTCAAATAAATCCCCCTCCTACTTTCCCGCACATGAGAAGGTGACAGCTTGGAAGCTTCTGGCCTAATATGGCTTCCAAAGCTGACATCCAATGTGGGCACTTGGGGAGATTCCCTTACCTTTGGCAGGTAATTGTATCCATTGTCTCATGTGCAATTGGCTGCCAAAAGAATCAATGTGATGGACACCATTGTTCTCAAAAATGTTTTTCCAGATGATCTATCTCAGTTAATGCCTTCATTTCTTCCAGGAATTAGAGCATTAGAAAGGTTGGCTGGAGCATTGCTGAAGGAAAACAAGAAGTAAATCTGATCAAGCATGGATGCAGACCTACATTCAAGTCTTCACCACCGCAATAAGGAGGTTAACAACAAAAACTGTGTGATTAATTTGTTCAATACTTCACATAAATTCATTCGGCTTAAATTCTGGGCGATCTGAGTTCTTAGTAGTGATTGGAGCCTTGTGATGTTATTGGGACTCTTTGGATCTGTGGCCTTTGAGAAAATGGATATGATGCTATCTAGTTGTTGTCTGCTGTTTTCTTTTAAAACCCTATATCCGTGATGGTGAACCTATGGCACGGGTGCCACAGGTGGCACACGGAGCCATATCTGTGGGCACGCGAGCATTGCCCTACTCAGTTTCAGCACACATATACATGCCAGCCAGCTAATTTTCGGGCCTTCCGGGCCCACCTGAAGTCAGGAAATGTTCTGTTTCTGGCCTCCGGAGGGCCTCCCAGGTGGGGGACGGAAGGCCGTTTTCTAGGCTTGCCAGGTGTCCACTATTTGAGCGGACAGTCCGCTTTTTTCACATTATGTTCACTATTTTTTTTCACAAAATAGTTGACATTTTTTTTATTCAAAAGCTTTATGATGAAATGGTACGTAATCTAAAGCTGTACAGTCTAAGAAAATAAGGATAGGAGAATCGCGTTTTGTCTTTTTTTTCATAAGTTAGAATGAGACAGAAAATACGATGAGCAGTTTTTTGGAATGAAAGTTTTATTTGCCTTACATAAAAAACATTTGCTTGAGAATGCTGTGCAAAAGTTCAAGAAAGAAGCCATCAACATGTATCAAAGAGCCATTGCGTACCTAGAAAAGTGGTATAATTTCACCGATTCTGTATATGAGACGCTAAGTTGTTTCAATCTAATTGATCGCAATAATCCTCCAACTTTAGAAGAAATGACGAACATCTTGTTATTATCACCATGGCAAGAAGAACTTCCACCCTCTCTTCAATGAAATTTCTGCCTTAGAAGAAGTTTATGTTCATCTCCAGGGCGATTCATCCCTTGATAAGTGGACGTACTTTTTCAAGAAAGAGCCAGCTCCGAGTTTACTGAAACTGTTCCAGTATTGTGCATCAATTCCGGTATCAAATGCAAACGTTGAATGAATTTTCAGCGTCATGGGAAATTTGTGGACTGACGAACGTAACCGACTGCTTGTACCATCAGTTCGAAGTGAACTTTGTATATTTTTTAATATTTCTCAATGTTGTACTGAAATTAAAGCATTATTCCTTAAACACAAAGAATTGATCAAAGCTGCGCAGTCAAATAAAAAATACACACGACAGCAAAGTAAAATGTAATTTAATATTTTACATATTATTATAATATATTTGATGTTTTGAATTTTAAGTAAAGTTTTGAAGTGATTATTTTAATACGTGTTAAAATGTTTGTAAGAAAATATATAATTTAATTGTAATTTTTTTTTAATTTTTTTACTACTTAACTCCTCCCCCGCTTGTCCGCTATTTTTTGGAAGCAGACCTGGCAACCCTACCGTTTTCGTCCTCCCCAGGCTCCACGAAAGTCTCTGGAGCCTGTGGAGGGTGGAAAACGGGCCTACCGGGCCCACCATGCCATTGCGTGCCAAAAGTGGGGGTAGCGCAGGGGGGTCACACGCGCATGTGCGGGGGGTGGCGCACATTGAATTATGGGTATGGGCACACGCATGCGCAATCCCCCTGCATGATCCCCACTTTTGGCACGCGATAGCAAAAAGGTTAGCCATCACTGCCCTATATGTTCTGGTGGTTGTAATGAGAAAGCAGAGAGGTGACCACTTTCTGGGAGACTGCCAATGCCTCCCTACTTACTGGAGGAATATTCTCAGCAGCCTTGAAGGTGACTGCTGTGAAGAGACCAGAATACCCATATCCTTCTTACTAGTACCTTTACTGATCCAGCTACCACCAGTCTCGTACCAATCTTATACCTTTACCACTGATAATGTTCTTGCCACTGAACAGTATTTTATGGGAGAAGGCACAATATTTAACTCTATTAAAATCCTTTGAATCTTGAGCCTCTCTCCAGATCTGTCAGCAATTCCCTTCAGCTTTGTGTCATCTGCAGATTTGCTGAGCATCCTTTCTATTCCCTTGTCTAAGTCATTTATAAAGTCACTGAAGAGCACTGGCTCAGGACAGAACCCTGAGGTGCCCTTTCGCATATCTCTCTCTCCATGTAGGCATAGATTGATTAAAGACCACCCACTGGGTATAGTTGTTCAAACAAAATTCAGTCCAATTCTTAGTGGCACCATCCATTCCACATTGTACTGAAGAAGGCTGTGGTCAACCTTATCAAAAGCACTATTGAAAATTGGATATACTATATCCATAACATTCTCTTGTTCCAATTTAGCCATTTTGATTTTTTTTTTAAAAAAAGTAATAAGATTAATCTGGCATGACCTATTTTAACAAGACCGTGCCGCCTTATAATAATCATCTTATTCATTTCTGAGTACTTGCTAACCCATTGCTCGGTTATGTTCTCTAAGTTTTCCTATATCAGGGTCTCCCACCTTTCCAGATTTGTGGACTGGTGGGGTGTGGACTGGAAGGGATGGTTCTGCACAAGCAGCGGATGAGCACATACATACATGCAGCTCCATTTGCACAAGTGGCGGCCATGCACATACGCCACTTGCACAAATGGAGTGGCATGTGTGTTTGCCTGCCTGCTGCAGGCATGTGCGCTCACTGGCCCGCTGTGCGCACAGGTGAAGCTGAATGCACACTCACCCACAGCTTCCGCTGGCCTGTTCTGAACAGGCTATAGCCTGAGGGTTGAGGATCCCAGTCCTAAATATTGTTAACAAAGTGATTGGCCTGCAATTTCCTGGGTCCACTCCCTTTTTTAAAATACTGGATGTAAAAGAATGTTAACACTCCTCAATCTTCTGGTATTTCCCTATACTCCAGGAATTCTCAAAGATTATACAGTAATCATTGTTCTGCAAACCCATCCACCAGTTCCTTTAGCAACCTGCAATGTAGATAATTCAACCCCAGAAACTTGAATTCATTCAAAGCACTAGGTCTTGACTCACCAATTATTTATTTGTTTATTT